TTGGTTCGCTGGTGTTCGTGTGAGCGTGTGCTCGTTGTGGAGCGAGGGCCAGCAGGTGGGGTTGGGAGGGACTGATCAATACCAGGAAACCCCCACCCGTCCCATCAGACAGGCCATCTGCCGGACCCCCGGCGGCGTGTTCCTCAGTCGCTCACGTCAACACAAGTACTGTTTGGGGTCATTAAGTGGCTGACCAATGTTTTTTTTTTTTTTTTAATCGCATGATTCCAATGCAGATATCTATGCTAAGTGGTCAATAGCTGAAATAAACACAAAATAAATAAATAAATAAAATATTTATATTAAAAATATTTGGAAAAGTAAAATACTTAAAAATAACATTAAATAACAGTAAATAAAAATATTTAAATAATACTGTAATAAATACTACTAATAAAATAATATAATAATTAATGGTAAATAAAAATATATTAAAATTATATATATATATATAATATGTATTTAAATATTAATTTGGAAAAATGTACAAAAATATTAAATGGGTTAAATGAAAAAGAATATAATTAATTTATATACAAATGTACACTAACACTACAAAATAACAAAATTATACAAAAAGTAAAATATCTAATAATATTAAAAATAAAATGTTAAATCATATATTAAACTTATAAATAAACAAACTCTCAAAATGCCAAATGATGACCTGTTAATTGCCCTGGCTAATATTTGATTATAAGTAAGTACGTGTGTATGTATGTATGCTGAAAATGACCAGTTATTTATCCTGGCCAATATATCATCTGTCCCTACTATCAAAACGGTCACATGAAAGTCTAGTGGCAATAATATCAAAATGACAATAGCATTTGACAGAAGCAGATTTCACACAGGAAGTTGATTCCTTCATGATGGATCTTCCCATTGCTCCTGTTGTGTGTGTGTGTGTGTGTGTGTGTGTGTGTTTGGCTTTAGAATAAGATCACACTGGAGTGAATTGGAGAGGTGGGCGGAGCTACAGCATCTGTTCTCCCAAGAGACATCCATCCACTAATGAGCACTAATCAATACAGCCCCAGGCTCCACCTCCCTCTTAGGAAACGTTCAATTAAATGAAGCATTACAGCTACTTTGTTGAGATCCTACAGCTGGTGTAACTCTGACCTACAGCAGGACTTCAAACATCAAACGAGGACAGGATCTACAGAACGAGTATCTATAGAACAATCCGTGACACATCGGTTTCATTAAAAGGGTTTTAATGGACTAATGCTTCACATTGTGTCGGAATTACTGTAATTATGAGATTCTGAGCTGTTCACATGCTCAGGCTAAAAAATTAATAGTTTCTATAGCTACACTTATAATGCCAAAAATTAGGCAAAAATGTGGCTTCGTTGTCAATGACGGTAAAAACAATATTTAGTCACTCTATTAAATGATCTCTGCATGCTCTTGCAAGATATTTAAGAAAAAAGCACATCAAAAACAACATTTTACAGTGACACATCAAGCATTGCTGTTCAAATGTTTGGGATCAGTAAGGTTTATTTATAGAAATTAATACTTTTATTCATCAAGGGCATATTAAACTCATCAAAAGTGACAGCAAACACATTTATAATGTTACAAAAGATTTCTATTTCAAATAAATGCTGTTCTTTCCAACTTTCTATTCATCAAAGAATCCTGAAAAATTTAATGTATCACAGTTTCCACAAAAATATTGTGCAGCACAACTGTTTTCAACATTGATAATAATCAGAAATGTCTCTTGAGCAGCAAATCAGCATATTAGAATGATTTCTGAAGATCATGTGAAACTGATCACAGCAATAAATTACATTTTACAATATATTCACATAGAGAACAGCTATTTTAAATTGCAATAATATTTCAAATTTTTACTCCATTTTTGGTCAAATAAATGCAGCCTTGGCGAGCAGAAGATTACAAAAATCTTAGTTTGACAAAAGTAAAATAGTCAGAAACTCAATTACTGTAAATCTGACATCATGTAAATGCATCACAAGTTTGATTTTAACTGTGATACTCACCAGGAAGTCTTCCTCACAGTAAACCTTTCCATTGATATTATAGAAAGCCTTTCCTCGTAGCCTCCGTCCTGAGGGAGAAAAAAAATCTAATTATTCCACCATGTCATAAGTTTCATTTTATATGCAGTCAAAAACACTGCAGAAGAAACTCCATGCGTCTTAATGCTGTGTGTTTACAAACAGCCTCGACAACAAACAAGCAATTATTTTTAACTGGCAACATCAAATGACTGAAAGGATGAAATATGTTTCATCTCTGATGCGTGTTAAGTGAACAGCTGTTCGTTCCCTCAGACATCTGACCGACGGATGTGAAACGTACACAAAAATGCATCGAAAGCTCAAACCTGACTGGTTCTGTTTACAGTGTTTCCTAGAATCAGGGTGCACAGGTTTATACCAGCCTAAAAACAAATGCAAACTGTGACCTATAATTTCCCCAACGGGTAAAATATGGACAGAATTGGGATCAAGTCATAAAAGCGGAATTTACTGTATAACGTGGAATGTCACAGAATAAGTCAAATTTTGAATTAATAAATCTTACTTTAAATCAAATCACAATATGGACTAGTGTCTGTGAATATTAAGCCACAAAATGACAATTTAAATATGATCCTGCATGTTCTGTGTGTCTCTTTTAGAAAGAATGGTGCAGATTCACACAGATGCACACTAAAGCGTGCGTGATGCTCACGGTGTTTTCAGTGCCTTTCGTCTCACTATATGAGCATATATAACTATCATCATATCATATAAACACAGAAACTTACAGGTCTTCACAACAACTTGAAGAAATAGTGACAGAAATATATTATTACTGTCTGGAATGTACACCCTAATGTAATAATAATAATAATAAATACTACACTAAACACTAAAATAAAAACTAATACTAAATATTAATACAAATAAAAATATTATTAGGGAATAATGATATTTTTTGTCCTTGTTTTAATTTTAACAGCAAACTTCTGTTGTGCTGCAATTTTGTTTGGCAAACAATGAAAGTGTTTGTTTCATTTTCATTTGATTAAAAGATATATTAAAGTTTATGCCTTCATAACAGAAACTAAAATACACAGACATAACAGAAAAAAAACATTTAATAGGGCCCTATATAATTGCAAAAATAATGTTGTTTTTATAAATTAAATTATTTAGATATACTTTTTGATTGATTTTTAAAATGTAATTAAACCATTAAAATGGAGTCCAAAAAAATTAAAACGGTAAACACAAAATTTAGTAAACATAAAACAGAATTTGAGAAAAAAAATAATATATTTAATTTCAGGGCCCTATAAAACATTTTTCATTTTGTTAAACTTTTAATAAATTGTTATTAAATTGTTTAAGTTTCATGATTTCAATTAATTAGACATGCTTTTTGATTACTAAAATTTAACCATTAAAACAGAGTCCAGAAATATTAAAACAGGGAAAAAATACGGAATCCAAAAAATAATAAAAAATAAAAATAAAACCGATTTCTTAGGACTGTAGGTTGGTTGTTTACCATGTGGCTCAGATGGTGTGTTTCTGTCTAAATGGGCGTATCTTGGCCAGAATCAGCGAAGGGACTGACTGCACGAGACTAGGACCTCTGTATCGCATTCAAACACACACAAAAACCACCAAACGCTCATCTTTCTCTCTCACACACAGAGTTCATAAATCAGTCCGACCCTTTTCCCCAACCCTTAATTTACAGCGCTCAAGGCAGACATCTCGTTTCTTTTCACGGTCTCAAAATTTATGCACTTGCCACATTCAAACAGCCAGCGGCCCGACAGAGAAACGAACACTCGACTTAATTCAGAGTGATAAAGCACGATTCACACGCAGATGTGGGCAAAGACTTTCAATTAGTGATGCAGAAGCAGGGTGTTCACCTTCTGGACCATAAAACAGGTGAAAAAATCCCATAGAGGAGGAACAAGAGCCATATAGAGACCTGAATAACTTTTTTTTTTAAATCCCTAGCAACACACCTGCATAGCAATGTGCAGTTTGGCACCACCAAGAACCACTTAGATGTGTTTAGAAAATTGTAATAAAAAGGTGCAAATAATAACGATTTGATTTTAAAACAACTGAGATGGCAATGTAAGAGGAGGATGTTTGTAGACGTGTGTACACACAACAAACGACGCTGAGATCACTGAGATTTCTGGAGCTGACAAATGTCTGGGCAGGGCCAGATTCCCAACACAAAAACACAGAGAGAGAGACAGAGAGAGGTCTGAGTAAACGGGGACATTCTTTGAGCCTGAGGTCACCGGCTGGTCCCAATGCCCCCCTCTACCACCGAAAACAGACAAGAGAGAGAGACAGGAGAAGAGAAAGAGAGAAAGAGGGGGAGGGATGGCGAGATTCCTCCAGCCTTTGTCAAAGACTGCGGCCACAGTCAACTACATCTACACTGAAAAAACTGGTTATATGCAGCAAACTTTAAGTTAATTTGTGGCAAATGTGTAGCTCTTCACTGGTATGATGAACTTGCAGCAAATCTTTGGCACAGTTAGTGCTGTTAAACTTTTCACTGAACTGAAATGTTCAATTATTTCGATACACTGCAAAAAAATTCAGTATTTTTGTGCACAAACATCTAAACAATCTTGAATCAAGAGTCATTTACAGTAACATTACATTAAATTCTGTTTTCTTAAAAATGTATCAAAATTAAGTTTTAAAATGAGAAAAAATATCTGCAAATGGGGCAAGAAAAATAATTTTGCTTTCTCTTTGAATTAAGGTTAAGATACTTTTCCTTGTGTTAAGCAAAAAGTGACAAAATTTTTATAGATTTTTCATAAAATAACACTTAATATCTTAAGTCATTTTGCTAATCAAGTAAATGTATCTTGATTCAAGAATGTTAAGATATTTATTTGTGCTTTAAAACACGATAAAAATACTGAGTAATCTTTGTTGCAGTGTAGTGAATGGAAATACATTAACAAAACAGCAAAAACTTTTTCAACAAAGGCCATTTTCACAGACTGTGATGATGTTTCTATAATTATTAACATCGTAACCTATTTTTTAAATATTTTCTTTTAAAAAAATGTAAAGTAAAATATATTTTATATTATATTTTTGAAATGTGTTTTCTATTTTCATTAATAAAACATGTATAACGCTATTTTGTGTTTTATTTTCTTGCTTTCAATTACAGAAAACTGGTTAAATCTAATACAATGGTTGAGGGAGTGACAGCTAATCTTTCTCTCTTTTAACCAATGTAATCAATCTCTTGATATTTTGTTCCTCTTTTGGAAAGACAGAAACCAATCATGGATTTTTCCTTTTGCTATTAAGGCAAATGGAAATGCAAAAATGACATTTGTTGCATTTTCCGTTCACAACCATGGAAGTTTACCAAACTATGACAGCTTCTGTTTCTGAGAAGCCCGGAAATGTGAAAAGGCTCCATTAACCACAATTATTTTTGTCATTTTTCACTCACATGCATCTCTTCTACTCCACTCTTCTCAGAAGAGTGTGTGGGCAATTTTATTTCCATGGTCTGCTGTGTTAAATGCATCTTTGATTTAATTTTTACACTTGTTTCCCATGACTGTCAACACTGGCTGCAGATCTTCAGTCCTCTCATGAACTCAGTCAGGGTCGTTGCCATATGTGACGCAAGTAAAAACGAGGCTGTGCAGTATAGATGAGGTCAAGGGCAGACATTATGCAAATGTGTTACTTCGTGACGTAGAGCCGTAAGAGAATAAGATTCTAATTCCTGATGACTCGTTTAGGCGATTGCGAGCCGACTCTTTTTTTTGATAGACAATAACTTTATTTATCGTGCACTGTCGGCTTCACAACTTTGCAGATAGTTTATGTTCACATACAGCTACATGACACACTGCATGAAAGGTAATATTCGAAAAGGCATAATAGGGGCACTTTAAGATATCAGAACTTAATATATCAGAATTGTTAAATAAATCTGAAATTAGTTATAATTATCAGACTTAAAACACTTAGCTGAAGTACTAAAATTACTTAAACTCAAGCTGAAAAAATTAATTGAAACTAAACAGAAATATAAAATAAATAAATAAAAATATTTAAAAGCATGTTACAAAATTACTAAAACTTAAAATAAAATGAACATTTAAAATATAAATATAAAAGCTCAATTCAAATATATACTATAAAATAATACTATAAAAGCATATAAATAATACAATTGTTGTCCACCGAAAATATTTTGTAAATATGTATTTTATTGTTTCTTTTGAATGACTGTTCTTGTGTACCTCACAGTCTTGTTTTAATTTATGATAAATTAACTTGAAATCAACTCTGATTGAGGTCTGTGATCCTCTTAAATGATCTGTTAATGAAAAATAGTACCATAAAATTAATCTCAGGGCAACAAATTCTCCTAGAATATACACATCTCAACTAGAAAACACAACTGACATATTCATATACAAGAAAAAGAACACCTCCAAACACGAAATGATTATGATCTCCTAGTCGAAAAGGCAGAAATCTAATTTTGTCAAAGCGTTCAGAGGCTGATATTATTTTCTCACTGTAATATGGCTGACTGTTTGTACACACACACCACATCTAAAGCGATATGACACTGTGTCATTAGCTGGGAAATCTGTCTCGAGCATAATCAAAGATCCAGAGACGGCAAACACATGAGAGACACACAGAGCGCAGCACTGAGAACAGTTAAACAGAAAATACCACATGCTCAGCACAATAATGAATATACAAACACACATGATTTAAAACAAAACGAGATAGAAAGATGGAATGATAGTTGATCAATAGAATGATAGAACAATCCATAGACTATCCGACAGAATGACAGATATATAGATAAAATGACAGATAGATAGAACATACAAACAATAGGTAAACAGAAAAACGATTGGATAATATGTAGACAGAACAAACAAACAAACGATAGGTAGCCAGAAGGAACAAACACGAGGTAAACAGAAGAATCAAAGGAACAATAGGTAGATAGAACGAACAAAACGAGTGAACAACTGGAAGACAGAAGAAACAAGAGGTAGACAGAACGAAT